GAGTTATTGTCTGAATCCCGATATACATGCTAAAAGGTACAACTTCCTTAAGTTTTGTCCATGAGTGTATCTTTCAGAGTTATTGTCTGAATCCCGATATACATGCTAAAAGGTACAACTTCCTTAAGTTTTGTCCATGAGTGTATCTTTCAGAGTTATTGTCTGAATCCCGATATACATGCTAAAAGGTACAACTTCCTTAAGTTTTGTCCATGAGTGTATCTTTCAGAGTTATTGTCTGAATCCTGATATAAATGCTAAAAGGTACAACTTCCTTAAGTTTTGTCCATGAGTGTATCTTTCAGAGTTATTGTCTGAATCCCGATATACATGCTAAAAGATACAACTTCCTCAAGTTTAGTCCATGAGTGTATCTTTCAGAGTTATTGTCTGAATCCCGATATACATGCTAAAAGGTACAACTTCCTTAAGTTTTGTCCATGAGTGTATCTTTCAGAGTTATTGTCTGAATCCCGATATACATGCTAAAAGGTACAACTTCCTTAAGTTTTGTCCATGAGTGTATCTTTCAGAGTTATTGTCTGAATCCCGATATACATGCTAAAAGGTACAACTTCCTTAAGTTTTGTCCATGAGTGTATCTTTCAGAGTTATTGTCTGAATCCCGATATACATGCTAAAAGGTACAACTTCCTTAAGTTTTGTCCATGAGTGTATCTTTCAGAGTTATTGTCTGAATCCTGATATAAATGCTAAAAGGTACAACTTCCTTAAGTTTTGTCCATGAGTGTATCTTTCAGAGTTATTGTCTGAATCCTGATATAAATGCTAAAAGGTACAACTTCCTTAAGTTTTGTCCATGAGTGTATCTTTCAGAGTTATTGTCTGAATCCTGATATAAATGCTAAAAGGTACAACTTCCTTAAGTTTTGTCCATGAGTGTATCTTTCAGAGTTATTGTCTGAATCCCGATATACATGTTAAAAGGTACAACTTCCTTAAGTTTTGTCCATGAGTGTATCTTTCAGAGCTATTGTCTGAATCCCGATATACATGCTAAAAGGTACAACTTCCTTAAGTTTTGTCCATGAGTGTATCTTTCAGAGTTATTGTCTGAATCCCGATATACATGCTAAATGATACAACTTCCTTAAGTTTGGTCCATGAGTGTATCTTTCAGAGTTATTGTCTGAATCCCGATATACATGCTAAAAGATACAACTTCCTCAAGTTTAGTCCATGAGTGTATCTTTCAGAGTTATTGTCTGAATCCCGATATACATGCTAAAAGGTACAACTTCCTTAAGTTTTGTCCATGAGTGTATCTTTCAGAGTTATTGTCTGAATCCCGATATACATGCTAAAAGGTACAACTTCCTTAAGTTTTGTCCATGAGTGTATCTTTCAGAGTTATTGTCTGAATCCCGATATACATGCTAAAAGGTACAACTTCCTTAAGTTTTGTCCATGAGTGTATCTTTCAGAGTTATTGTCTGAATCCCGATATACATGCTAAAAGGTACAACTTCCTTAAGTTTTGTCCATGAGTGTATCTTTCAGAGTTATTGTCTGAATCCTGATATAAATGCTAAAAGGTACAACTTCCTTAAGTTTTGTCCATGAGTGTATCTTTCAGAGTTATTGTCTGAATCCTGATATAAATGCTAAAAGGTACAACTTCCTTAAGTTTTGTCCATGAGTGTATCTTTCAGAGTTATTGTCTGAATCCTGATATAAATGCTAAAAGGTACAACTTCCTTAAGTTTTGTCCATGAGTGTATCTTTCAGAGTTATTGTCTGAATCCCGATATACATGTTAAAAGGTACAACTTCCTTAAGTTTTGTCCATGAGTGTATCTTTCAGAGTTATTGTCTGAATCCCGATATACATGCTAAAAGGTACAACTTCCTTAAGTTTTGTCCATGAGTGTATCTTTCAGAGTTATTGTCTGAATCCCGATATACATGCTAAAAGGTACAATAGTTTATAAGGGGTCATGTGTTCAAACATTGAGGACTCCAGTCAAACAAACATCAGACTGTCCACCCACCCCACACATGTGTGTTACAGTAATGCAGCAGAAGATAAGTGGGTGTCAACCACGGTGTCGGACATGACGTGACACAGACCACATCAAAGACAAGGCCGCCCGCCAGCTAAGTGGGAAAAAGAACCCTGAACACTTCGAAGGGGCTGTGAGGTCGGATTTCTTCGTCTCGTCTCTCTGTCTGTCCGACCTTGAACATGGATGAGATCATTCTTATATCAGCTTATGTAACTCAGTTTATTATGGGTTCGGTGAAAGAATGGTCTAAACCGTTGGGTTTCGACCTAAACCACCCAGGTTCGAATCCCGAATTAGACACTATTTTTATTATAAAAAAAAAAAGCTCCAATGGCCCCCGATTCTTGAAAAGTCCTACCCTACCAGCGAGTGTAAGTAACCAAACGGGGCTTTGGTACATTTGTAAGTGCAAAGTCGAACTTATTTTCACATGTGTAGACATGTGGTGTACTTACAGTAAAAGCAGTCGCCAACCTCTACCCATGATTATCATGGACTGTACCATGTGTACTAGAGATAAAAGCAAAAAACAGCAAATAAATTAGAATTAAATATTTTCAAATTCACATATATTATTCGACAGAGTTCATAAAATTTATATAGACAAAGATGTAAGAGAGTTAAATCATTTAGATCAGGGAACAATCTCACTTCTGTAAAGTTCGGACAGTCATAGATAAGGTGGTTTGTTCAGTTTCTCTGCAGGAATAATTTGGTGCTTAGGAAGGGGTTTTACAAATATCTAAAAATATATATTTTACTAGCGGACGTACCCGGCTTCGCCCGGGTTTTACCCGAGTAAAAGTTTGTCTAACGAATCTCTCGATAAAGTGAACATTTTTTTTCCCGGTCCCTTGAAAAATACTCGATAAGTTGAATAAAATCAATATTAATTGGTTCCCTCAGTAATTGGAAGTTAAAGGAATAGTATCTTGCCTTGGAATTGTATCATTATTCTTGTATGGATGTACCCGGCTTCGCCCGGGTTTTACCCGAGTAAAGGTTTGTTTAACGAATCTCTCGATAAAGTGAACATTTTTTCCCGGTCCCTTGAAATATACTCGATAAGTTGAATAAATTCAATATTAATTGGTTCCCTCGGTAATTGGAAGTTAAAGGAATAGTATCTTGCCTTGGAATTGTATCATTTTTCTTGTCTCAAATAAATTGCCGTGTCATCCTGAATTTTGTCTTTCCTAATTTTCTACATTACAAAATCATCGTATCATCATGATAATATTTAGAGCAGATTGTTGAATTATAACAGATAAATTAGAATATTTATCTTGATTATTTCTAGGCGAAAAGTTATTTCAAAAATTTTATTTGCTAGAAACCTTCCCAGTACTATACTAAATAACTTCCCAAAGTTTCATGGCGATCCAATGAGTGGTTTGGTCAGGCATAAAGGACAAACAAACAAACAGACACACATACATTCATTTTTATATATATAGATATAATGACTAGAGGAACCAAATCTGAACCATAAAATCGATTGTAGCAGGCTACTTTAATATATTCCTGATTAACTTATTTATTTAAATCAACACACAAAACGCGATATCCCGGCTAGGGATATTTGCCTCAATTTACATTTTTTAAACATAAACAGTTATAAACATATTATACAAGAAAAGGTAATCAAAAATAACAAGAGAAACAATAATATATATTAGGAACCTGAACCTTTCAGGTTAGAAAGATAATCATAAATATATTTACAAAAATAGTTAAACCTATGATAATTCTCTCTGCTATTTACAAATTGATATAGATCTACAACATTGTCTGTTGTCTAGCGGTGAAGAAGAGTGGGCATTCCAGCAGTAGGTGTCTCGAGTCCTGGAATTCGTTGCCACAATGACAGCTAGAGTCTTCAACCGCTTCAATTTTTGATAAAAATCCCTTAAAATTTCCATGGTTCGTTGTAAACTGGGTATTATAAAAATTCAAACGGAAAATGTTGGAATTCCAAAACTTAGGTTTTGAGATATTTTGTGGCTGCAGCAATATCAACAATAGGGAAATACTCTGACTGACACAATATCAGATTTTGATGAATATTCCTCAGTTACAGTGATACTTTCATTGAAGAAGAAATGGTGTTCAGAAATTTAATTGCACTCTATCGATAAAATTTGTAACAGTAAATTTTTAGCAATGTGTTTCTTTTACACATATATCTCTATTGTATATCTAAAGTTGTTGATGGCTGGCGTCATCTATCGGAATAAATATCAACTAATCGTTGATTTTTTAATTATTCCAGAATTGGCCAAATACCGTTTCTTGATTAATCAAGAAAAGTCAACCACGCACGCATTTCGGGCTGTTGGCCCTCATCAGCGTGGTTCAAGCTGTACCTCAACGACCAAAACGGCTGGTCTTTGGGGCATCCTGAAAAACCATGAAAACAGGTATTTAGGCCGGAAGGACATGAGAACGCCAATCAATGTGAAAAATAGAACAAAAGTGAAATTGTACTTGGAACAGGTGGATAAATTAAGAAAAAAGACATTTTCTGATCGTGTAACTGAAAGTTGCTGATGGCTTGCGCCATCTATCGGGATAAATATAAACTAATCGTTGATTTTTAATTATTGCCTTTATATGCCTTTTTTTTTCTTAATTTATCTACCTGATCCAAATATAAATTCACTTTTGTACTGTTTATCACATATATCAATGTAGAGATGTGTTATATATAAAATGAAATACATTGCTATTATTGTTAAAAAAAATATGGTATATTCAGAAAGTTATATAATAAGTATGAAATGTCGATTTTTCAGAAATATTAGCATTAATGATAATCATTTTAGCAATCTTCACACCAATGTGTTAGACTCTAGCGATATTAATTACAAAGCTGAGACACATGCGGGGTAATTTTCGAATGTCGTTCTACAATCATAAACCGCATTATATTGTATTATACGTTTATATAATATTTACGAACAGAAAAATATATCCAGGGTAGCCAAGGGTAAATGGAATCTGTCCGGTAAGCGGAACACTGTGGGTTCGATTCCCATCCCTGGATACTTTATTTTTCCGTTTATCATTACTCTTCACAATTCATCCTTTCATCATTCATCAATTAACGCTAGAGGACACCTCTCCACAAAGGACAGTTTTCATTTGTAAAATTGTCATTTTTACTATTTAGCAACCTACCGGTAAGAGGACACCACTCCCTAAAGGATACTTTGGCTCTGTAATTAGGTGTTGTCCTTTACAGAGAGATTCTACTGTACATGAAAAAATAGTACAAATGTGATATTGTACTGGGATAAGGTGCATAAATTAAGAAAGAAAAATTAACATCTCCTTATCATGCAACTGAATTTGATGGCTGGCGCCATTTATCAGAATAAATATCAACTATTCTCGTTGATTTTTAATTATTCCAGAATTGGCCAAATACCCATTCTTGATCCATAAGGTTAGAAATAATCGTTATTTCTCCTTAAAAAAATTACGATTTTTTGTTCAAAAGAAACACATGCGGGATAATTTTCAAATGTCGTTCTACAATCATAAGCCGCATTATATTGTATTAGACTTGTTTTTTAGTCAGAAAATGATGATGACAATATGGTTTTATCATATTTGATTATCAGATACAAAATTATATTTGGAAAAATTCCAAAAAGCAGAGACCACGGGTGAAGTAAGTTCATTTTTAGTATGCAGGAACAAAATTCTAACAGAAAAACATTCATTCGAGCAGAAGACACAAAGCCAGATCATCTCTCTATAAAAATATCGCTTCTCAGACACAAAGTTTGGAGCGGGACACAAGAGTGACATCCACAGCGCCAATTTATAATTGTGACGAATAGTATTTGAATAAAAACATTCAATCGGGTAAAATCCGGGCGTTTCCCGGGTCATTCGATTAGTTTAAAATAGAAAGAGATTCATTGCGAGAACATATTTTTGTAATTTAAAATCTTTACAAAAATACGTTAGACAATTTTTGACAATTAAAACAAATATATTGACAACTCAGTCAATATTCACAAAATGAGATCACAAAAATAACACTGGTCAACAAGATTTTTGCCCAAGAGAACCTGATGATGTTTCTAGTGTAACTTCTCATGCTGAACCTAAAAATCTAATCAGAATTTTTCCATCACCCATGGTTTTTGCATGATAGCCTTTTTTTGGTATTGGGATAAATACAGCAAAAAATGCAAGAGATATTACATAAGCATTTTGCATAAACCTTATTACATTACACTGGTTTATCAAAAATTATTTTTCTTTGTCTCAAAAGAAACAGCATCTTATCTAAATTTAACTCTTTGTGCTGATTCCAAATATACCGTTAGGGGTTTTCTATCACGCAAGATTTTTGAGATACATCTACTTGAAATTTGGAAATGTTTTTAATATATAGGCCTATATGAACGAAATATATTTATTTTATTGAAAATTAGTGACAGTGGATTTTCTTCTATACTTTGCTTGTGGTACATCCCTCTTGAGTGTCCACCAGTAGTCAGCAAGCATAACGGGACTCCATTTACCTTGGTACAGCTTCTCCATGCTTGATATATCTTGATGAAACCTCGCACCATGCTCATCGCTAACTGAGCCAAGATTGTCTGGAAAGAAATCCAGATGTGAATGCAGGAAATGGATTTTGAGAGAATTGTTACATCCCAGTGCCTTGTAGGAAAGAAACAGATCATTAACTATGTCTCGGTAATTTTCAACCTTGACACTTCCTAAGAAGTTCTTGCAAACGTTTCTAAGGGAATTCCATGTTGCTGCTTCAACTTCATTCAAAATATTTTGAAAATTTCCATCCTGCAGCAATTCTCGAATCTGAGGTCCAACGAAAATGCCTTCTTTAATTTTCGCATCACTTATGCTAGAGCATTTTTGTTTTAGGTAGGCAAATCTACTGGCATTTCGATCCATTGCCTTGACAAAGTTCTTCATTAATCCCAGTTTAATATGTAATGGAGGTAAGTAAATATTTTCTGAATCAATCAGGGGAGGATTTACAATATTTTTATGTACTGGAGTAAAGATTTCACGGTTTGGCCAGCTTTTTTTAACGTAATTCCTTTCCCTATCTCTGCTATCCCACTCGCACAGAAAACTAAAACATTTTGTAGATCCAAACTGTAATCCACGCATGAGAGCAATGACTTTCAAATCGCTGCATATTTTCCAACCGTATCTTTCATATTCTATCTTTTTAAAAAGCAGTTTCATGTTTTCGTAAGTCTCTTTCATGTTGGATGCATGTGCTATTGGCACTGATGGGAACTTATTTCCGTTGTGAAGGAGAACAGCTTTCAAACTAATTTTTGAAGAATCAACGAATAAACGCCACTCTTCTGTATCAGGGTCATGACCAAGCACTTCCATTAGACTAACAACATCATTGCAATATACTAAATCATTCTCTTGTGAAAATAAGTCTTGAAATTCATCTTGACGCTTGCGAAAAAGGCATACTTTTGTGCCTTTATGCAGCAGATTCCAGCCTTTTAACCTAGAGTCTAAAAGTTCACTCTGTTTTTTTGATAAATCTAAATCACGTACGAGGTCGTTCAAATCTCCTTGGGTTAACAAATGAGGTTCAGATGAAGCACCTGCTTCATAATTTGTCTCATCCGCCTGTTTCTCTTGTCTATCTGAATCATCGTCACTAAATATTACATTTTCAGGAGGCTGTGGCACAGGCAAAATATCACTATGAGGAACCGGTCTCATAGCAGAAGGCAAATCTGAATATTCAACTGTATGTCTTGATTTGGATGTAATACCTGTAGTCTTTGTTAAACAAAAATAACAGCATGAAGAATGGTCTTTAGGTTCCCTCCATATCATTGGAACCGCAAAAGGCATATGACGTTCACCTTTAATCCACCTGTAAGACGTCGAGCACAAATTTCACAACAATAATGAGGAGCCCAAGTCTTATCTTGGTCACCGACTTTACAGCCAAAATAAAGTTGATAGAACTTTTTGATGAGCGGTGTAAAGTTTCGCCTTTGAACTTTTAATTCGCCACAAATGTAACAGAAAATATCAGGAATATTAATGCAACACCTCGGCATATTGACACATTCTAGTGCACACGATTTATAAAAGCAAATCGATAGAGAAAAATAAACTGATCACTCCAAATTTACCTGTCACTTATGATGTAAATCTATTAAACAAATCGTTAGGTTCAATTTAAATATATATATTAAAACTGTTATTCAGCAAATAGCATTGCAGAGCTTGTCGTTATTTTTGAGTTGAAAGCAACAGATTGCATTATAAAATAAACATATTTAATTAAAAATTCAATAAATTGTTATTTAAATAAATATTTATGATTCTTAAAGAGCAAATTTGATTAATAAAAAATAAAATAAAGCTTTTGGCTTCACATATCAACTTTTCTTTTCAAAAATAAAGCGCTAGCTTATGTAATGATGTTTACTTTAAAAATGCTTACGTAACATTTTCTGCATATACCAATTTATGGAAAAAATGGTTATTCTGCAAGAACTATGGGTGATGGAAAACTTCTGATTTCATTTTTGAATTCAGCATGAAAAGTTACATTAGAATCATTTTGTGCCTTTATGCAGCAGATTCCAGCCTTTTAACCTAGAGTCTAAAAGTTCACTCTGTTTTTTGGATAAATCTAAATCACGTACGAGGTCGTTCAAATCTCCTTGGGTTAACAAATGAGGTTCAGATGAAGCACCTGCTTCAAAATTTGTGTCATCCCACTGTTGCTCTCGTCTATCTGAATCATCGTCACTAAATATTACATTTTCAAGAGGCTGTGGCACAGGTAAAATATCACTATGAGGAACCGGTCTCATAGCAGAAGGCAAATCTGGATATTCAACTGTATGTCTTGGTTCGAACCAGGGAAATCAGGTTCTATAGTCTAAAGCTTTCGCAGCTAGGCTATTTTGCCTATTACGTTAGACTATAGCGATACCAATTTGAAGGCTGAGACAATTTGCTACGTCTGTAGCAGTGTAGATACTGTAGCACCGTGACAGGATTGTAGATGACGCGCTAGCACACAGAATTGTGCCAGTCACTTGTCACGAATGTCAACTGTCCTCTTAACTTAACGATGTCCAACTTGTCCCACACGTCAGCGCTTTTTATAGACCGCCGCATCTCTAATTTGCATCCTGTCCGTATTTACATACTTCCCTCTATTTATATTCTAATTGCATATATTATTTAGCTGAAGTTTTTTTTTTAAATAAAATTCTAAACAATTGTATATATATATATATATATCTTGTATAAAGTTTTTCTGTTCTATTTTGGGATTGTTGAGAATTATGCTATGGTAATGCAGTCGTTAAAATCTTGAAAGAATAATACTAAAAATAGTTTTTAGATTGCTTCAATTGAACTTATGGAATAAAGAAAACATAATTTGATAAAAGTGCTGCCTGGCTTAAGGCGTAAGAATAAAAAAAAAGGAAAACTTATTTACATAATGTACAAAAGGTTGAGCCGGCCATCGGGAAACAACAACAATGAGTTTTTATAGGGGAAGCGTGACCTCTGGCGGTAGATTTATCAGAGTATTTGGATCTATGAAATATAATTTTAAATAAAATAATATTTTAATACAACATATATTAGATAATAAAAAAGGCATATATTGGATTGAATAAAAGATGTATTTGCCAATATTTCGGTTAGCTGAACGCCAACCTTTATTAAGGCATTACAATATTGAAAATATTTGCAAAAAAATCTTTTATTCAATCCAATATATGCCTTTATATTATCTAATGATTTAAATATGGATTGCTCTATTTTCAAAACAAATAAATATATACACATACTCTGAAAACTTCCCTCATTTCTTACCTTGTATCTTATTAATTTTGATTTTGTTCTTGCATTAAATAAGTTGTTGTTTCATCCTGAAGTTTGTTTTTCGCTAATTTTATATGTCACAATATTGTTGATTACTAAAAAAGGTAGGAAAGCTATCTGGGCTGATGCAATGTGGACCAGTGAGAAGTTGAATGGAAATTT